GATCCCTGGACTAAAGAGGAAACCATGGAGCTCCCCATAAGTGAGCATGAAGAGCAGCTTGTTCTGAAGCAGAAACCTTTCCCTTTGTTCAAAATGGAACAATTAGCTTTATTGGAAATGGCTTTATCATTATTCTATTGTCATCCTGTATGATATCTAAATGCTTTAGACTTCAGGTTTATCACGGTGATGCACAGTTGCTCTACCACATAATGAGTCCAGAAATAGGAGGAGCTTGAGCTGAATTAATCTTTTTTTATGAGAACAACAAAGTTTTTCCCAGGAATGTAGTTTGTATCAGTTTTTACTCCAGGCTTCAGAGTGAAGTAGAAATAAACTGGGAAGGGAGAAGATTGAACTTGTGTTTTTTGATTGAAATCAACACTTTTTCTGCAGAATAATGTGATAGAAAAATGTCCCCTTTACCCTGCTTTTCTCAAGGTGTTTTGCATTACCCATATTGTGTCTTAAGAAGAGCTGCTTTCTGTCCTTTTACCATCCTTTTAAATCGTTCTCTACACTATTGGCTCTAAGGAGTTTGACTCAGAGAGGGTTTACAGTCTAGCTCTGTACTGAGGTCAGCGCAGACAGAATGCTGGATAAAGAGCTGGATGAGACCAGAATGAGATGCAGATGTGGCTTTCTGGAGAGCACCTCCCTTTTCTTTTGGCCTGCTGTGGTAAATGTGTGTGCAATCCCCTTATTTGGGGCTCATCTGTAGAGTCATAGTGGAGCTGGTGCCTTTCTCCAGCAGTCTCTGGGCAAAAGGTGCAGTAAAACTTGGACAGTTCAGCAAAAAAAAAAAAAATCTAAAAATTAGTTTTTAAAATTTCTTTAATGGTTAAAATCTGCAGGTAATCCAATTTTTTTTTAAACCTTTGATGATAAAAGTGGAGATCCTACCCTTTCTGGATGGCAGAACATTAACCATTATTTTATTTATTTTATTGTGGTGCCAGAGCTGCAGTGCATGCTGGGAGATGTAGTTCCAGTCTATTTATATGAAGTTATGTCAACAAACGGATGATTAAATAATCATCAATAATCAATTTCTTAAGCCTACAATAGAAAGTCTTTCTGCTGTGTTTGTCTTTCAGACCACCTGCAGGATTATATTGGAAAAGAGGAGGATTTCTCTGACCAGCAGCTCTGTGGACAGGAGAGGAATTCCAGTTTGGACCAAAAGGAACCAAAAGCTCTGCAGATAAAAGAAGAGCAGAAAAAACCAGAAGATCCCTGGACAAAAGAGGAAACCATGGAGCTCCCCATTAGTGAGTATGAAGAGCAGCTTGTTCTGAATCAGGAAATTGAAGAGAAACCTTCCTCCTGTTTGACACGTGAAGAAGACTGCCAAAAAAAAGAATATTTTATGGTTCACACTCACACAGGTCCGAAGATTTATGAATGTCTGTCCTGTGGAAAAATGTTCAAACTGAAATATCATCTTGATAAACACATCAGAACTCACACAGGTGAGAAGCCTTTTTCCTGTACCATCTGTAGCAAGAATTTTACTGACAAAAGTAGTTTGACTTCTCACACGAGAATTCACACAGGTGAGAAACCTTTTGAATGTCTGTACTGTCGAAAAAGCTTCACACAGAAATCTAATCTCGACAAACACATCAGAATTCACACAGGGGAGAAGCCCTTTAAATGTCTGTCCTGCGGAAAACGCTTCATTCAGAAATCTAATCTTGACAAACACGTCAGAATTCACACAGGTGAGAAACCCTTTGAATGTCTGTCCTGTGGGAAAAGCTTCAACTTTAAGTCTGATCTTAATAATCACATCAGAATTCACACAGGTGAGAAGCCTTTTTCCTGTACCATTTGTAACAAGAACTTCAATGACAGGAGTGGTTTGACTAAACACGTGAGAATTCACAATGGGGAGAAGCCTTTTTCCTGTACCTTTTGTAACAAGAATTTTAATGACAAGAGTAATTTGACTAAACACATGCGAATTCACACAGGGGAGAAATCTTTTTCCTGTACCATTTGTAACAAGAATTTTAAAGACAAGAGTTATTTTACCTATCACATGAGAATCCACAAAGGTGAGAAACCTTTTCTATGTCTGTCCTGTGGAAAATGCTTCACTCAGAAATCTAGTGTTGATAAACACATCAGAATTCACACAGGTGAGAAGCCCTTTCAATGTCTGTCCTGTGGAAAACGCTTCACTCAGAAATCTAATCTTGATAAACACATGAGACTTCATACAGACGAGAAGCATTTTGAATGTCCGACCTGTGGAAAAAGCTTCACCTCCAAGTCTGATCTGAATAATCACATCAGAATTCACACAGGAGACAACCCTTTTTCCTGCAACACTTGTAACAAGAATTTTACTGACAAAACTAGTTTGACTAAACACATTAGAATTCACGCGGTTGCTAAATCTTTTTCCTGTACCTTTTGTAACAAGAAATTTAAAGATGAGAGTAATTTGACCTATCACACGAGAATTCACAAAGGTGAGAAACCTTTTGAATGTCTGTCCTGTAGAAAAAGCTTCACTCAGAAGTCTAATCTTGATAGACACATGAGAATTCACACAGGAGAGAAACCTTTCTCCTGCACGATTTGTAGCAAGAATTTTACCGACCAGAGTAATTTGACTTCTCACAAGAGAATTCACAAAGCAGAGAAACCCTTTGAATGTCTGTCCTGTAGAAAAAGCTTCACTCAGAAATCTAATCTTGAAAGGCACATCAGAATTCACATAGGTGAGAAGGCTTTTGAATGTCTGTCATGTAGAAAAAGCTTCACTCAGAAAACTCATCTCGATAGACACATGAGAATTCACACAGGAGAGAAGCCTTTTTCCAGTACCATTTGTGAGAAGGATTTTACTGACGAGAGTAGTTTGACTTCTCACACGAGAATTCACACTGCTGAGAAGCTGAATGATTTGTGACAAAGGGTTTAAACGAGAAGCTTATAGATATGCAGGATTTTGAATGATTTATATATTTATAAAAATCATTTGTTTCATAGAAGTCAGAGCAGTTAGACACCACAGGGATGAACAGTAGAGGCGTTTTCCATGTTTGACTGGTGATAAAATGTNATTAGTGAGTATGAAGAGCAGCTTGTTCTGAATCAGGAAATTGAAGAGAAACCTTCCTCCTGTTTGACACGTGAAGAAGACTGCCAAAAAAAAGAATATTTTATGGTTCACACTCACACAGGTCCGAAGATTTATGAATGTCTGTCCTGTGGAAAAATGTTCAAACTGAAATATCATCTTGATAAACACATCAGAACTCACACAGGTGAGAAGCCTTTTTCCTGTACCATCTGTAGCAAGAATTTTACTGACAAAAGTAGTTTGACTTCTCACACGAGAATTCACACAGGTGAGAAACCTTTTGAATGTCTGTACTGTCGAAAAAGCTTCACACAGAAATCTAATCTCGACAAACACATCAGAATTCACACAGGGGAGAAGCCCTTTAAATGTCTGTCCTGCGGAAAACGCTTCATTCAGAAATCTAATCTTGACAAACACGTCAGAATTCACACAGGTGAGAAACCCTTTGAATGTCTGTCCTGTGGGAAAAGCTTCAACTTTAAGTCTGATCTTAATAATCACATCAGAATTCACACAGGTGAGAAGCCTTTTTCCTGTACCATTTGTAACAAGAACTTCAATGACAGGAGTGGTTTGACTAAACACGTGAGAATTCACAATGGGGAGAAGCCTTTTTCCTGTACCTTTTGTAACAAGAATTTTAATGACAAGAGTAATTTGACTAAACACATGCGAATTCACACAGGGGAGAAATCTTTTTCCTGTACCATTTGTAACAAGAATTTTAAAGACAAGAGTTATTTTACCTATCACATGAGAATCCACAAAGGTGAGAAACCTTTTCTATGTCTGTCCTGTGGAAAATGCTTCACTCAGAAATCTAGTGTTGATAAACACATCAGAATTCACACAGGTGAGAAGCCCTTTCAATGTCTGTCCTGTGGAAAACGCTTCACTCAGAAATCTAATCTTGATAAACACATGAGACTTCATACAGACGAGAAGCATTTTGTATGTCCGACCTGTGGAAAAAGCTTCACCTCCAAGTCTGATCTGAATAATCACATCAGAATTCACACAGGAGAGAACACTTTTTCCTGCAACACTTGTAACAAGAATTTTACTGACAAAACTAGTTTGACTAAACACATCAGAATTCACACGGGTGCTAAATCTTTTTCCTGTACCTTTTGTAACAAGAAATTTAAAGATGAGAGTAATTTGACCTATCACACAAGAATTCACAAAGGTGAGAAACCTTTTGAATGTCTGTCCTGTAGAAAAAGCTTCACTCAGAAATCTAATCTTGATAGACACATGAGAATTCACACAGGAGAGAAACCTTTCTCCTGCACAATTTGTAGCAAGAATTTTACCGACCAGAGTAATTTGACTTCTCACAAGAGAATTCACAAAGCAGAGAAACCTTTTGAATGTCTGTCCTGTAGAAAAAGCTTCACTCAGAAATCTAATCTTGAAAGGCACATCAGAATTCACATAGGTGAGAAGGCTTTTGAATGTCTGTCATGTAGAAAAAGCTTCACTCAGAAAACTCATCTCGATAGACACATGAGAATTCACACAGGAGAGAAGCCTTTTTCCAGTACCATTTGTGAGAAGGATTTTACTGACGAGAGTAGTTTGACTTCTCACACGAGAATTCACACTGCTGAGAAGCTGAATGATTTGTGACAAAGGGTTTAAACGAGAAGCTTATAGATATGCAGGATTTTGAATGATTTATATATTTATAAAAATCATTTGTTTCATAGAAGTCAGAGCAGTTAGACACCACAGGGATGAACAGTAGAGGCGTTTTCCATGTTTGACTGGTGATAAAATGTCCATCTAAACTTTATTTGGCACAGTGTTAGAGCTATGGTTAATAGATATTAGAATGAAGTAGATCATTTATAGAGGAGTCTCAGATGAAGATTTGGGACATATAGAAGTGTTAGTCAGGCTGATTAATGTTGCAAAGTAGCTCCAGCCATCTTGAAAAGGCGGTTCCAAAAAGTAAAAAAAAACAATCTACTGGACTTTGTTTCCAAGTTTGAAGACGTTTTGCTTCCCTTCCAGGAAGTGCTTTCAATTCAAAATGTCAGAAATTGCATTGAGCTAGAGGCTTCATAGAATCCTTTTTTTAGTTTGCAAAGCACTAGTGGCTGTTTTTTGGACAGTAAGGGTAGAGACATGCAGTAAAGGACCACACATCAGATTCGAATCCGGGTCGGCTGGGTGAAGGACTATGGCCTCCATAGATGGGTCATGTGCACTAACCACTGCGCCACCAAGGCACACCTATAGAATGCTTTTTAAAGATTTCTGGAAGTATAATTTTAATAGTTTTCTTCTTGATTCTGTAGATGTTCTATTCACTTGCTATGATTGAAAGTAACTATTGCTACTGATTCTATGTATTATATTCCGCTGTGGATGTTTGTAATTATTGTAATCACTTCTAAATTGATGAACAAGCAGCAATAAAAACCTCATGGATTGTAAAAATTTGCTTCTTATATGGTTTCATATTAATTGCAGTCTTTTTTCATGTTTTCTCTGATGTTTTCATACGAACTAAAGCTCTAAAATAAATAGTTTAATTGCATTCACCGTCTGTCTTCTCCAGTCTTTCCTGTTGCTCCTCCATCAGCATTAATGGTTTTTGCTTTTTAGAGCCTGAGTTCAAATCTGGCCATTGGATAAATCCTCCTTTGCTTGTTGGAGAACTTAGATCAGGAAATAATGTAGG